ATCAAATATTAATCTTTTCTTTTTATATTTTAGAATGATTTCGACGATACAAAATTATACTATTCAAATCAATACAACACAATAAAAAAATGTAGGTATCAGTTTTTTTTTCTTTATTGGATTATACAGAGGGTGGTAAGTCCTCTTGTGATCTTTTATATTCATGTTTTTCTTTTTCTTTTCTTTGTTGAGATGAGAATAGTTAGGGTGAGTGAGGTACGTTGAGTTTAGGGTTTCGCTTTATAAGAAGGACTTCCGGGTAGTCCCTAAAAGCCTGGCCAGGAACTGTCTTGGTGTCCGTGGCACACGATCGGGCCCCCAGACTCACTGACATATGACATCGGATGGATGCATGTGAATGATGTGGGTCTTCCCGCGCGTGCATGAGCTTTACGCTCGCTACGGCTCCACCAGGATGGTTCCTGGTCGCGCGCGCGAAGAGAATAGAATAGCTATGAAATCATTTTCATTCAATCACGATTTATTTGAAAGAGAAAGAGAACAAAAAAATAATAAAATTCATCATCGCATTGAATTTCATTCGATATTAAATTTTTGTACTCGATGATTCCACTGATCGACGACATAGAGATTACCATGTCGATCGAATGATAAACCTATGGGACAATTGAGTTGATTCGATTGTGCTCCTTGACCGTTTCCACCAATAATGACACTTCCTTGTGTGACTCCTTTTGGCCAACGCATGATTCGATGATTCCCAAAATCAGCCACATAGACAGTACCCAATTGATCGACAACGACTCCATAAGGGCTAGTCAATTGCGTAAGACTATTTCCTTCTCCTTGACCACCGGCTACGACAATGCCTTGTTTTACACCTTCTTCCCATTTCATTACACGATTATTTTCCCAATCAGACACATAAACTGAATGATCTCGATCGACAAATACATAGCGGGGATGAGAGAGTTGATCGAGACGATTTCCTGGTCCATTACCACCTGCAACCACTGTTCCTTTAGTGTCACCAATTTTATATCGTCTCACTTCATCTTGTCTCCAGTCAACGACATAGAGACAACTATTGTCGTCCATTGTCAAACCGTAGCAAGCAATATTGGAAATAATTGTTTCTCCATGAGTACCATTTCGACGAGGCCATCGAACTACTCTTCTATTCCCGGAATCGCTGATGATGAGACTATCGCTCTCTTTGTCGATAATCACATCTTGTGGGAGGTTTAATTGATGAGCTCCATTTCCACCAGCAACTACGTTTCCATTCGTTGCACCAGATTTCCATTCTACAATACGATGATTCGAATAATCAGCGACATAAATCGTCTGATCATCGTCGACGTACAAATCCAATGGGTAATTGAGTTGATTGGTTTCACTGCGTAGTCCATTTCCTCCAGCAACAGTGATACCATTCTGTGACCATTTTGCATTCGGATGAATATCAATGGAACTTGCACGCATTGGTACTGAAATGAAACAAAAGTATGAAGTAAAAATAAACATCGATTTCATTGAAATGAGTTCTTCTCATTTGTTTTAAACAATATTGAACTGCTCTAAATTACAAAAGCTTTTTACTTATGAACTTGATTAGAATCTGGTTTTTCTCAATGTTGAAAACAAAACATTGTTGATTTTTTTCAAATATTTTGAAACTAACTAAAATTTAACTGATAATGTGAAAAATTGTGATTAACTCGAATTTTATCGTAAATGAAATTTTCTTTTATATCGAATTTTTTCAACATATTCACTGATTTCGTTAGTTCGAGTTTGAAATATATTTAAAAATCATTTCATTTTTTATTGTTTGAATTTTGCAATAAAAGGAGATATAATAGAATTTGAACGTGAGGAAAAACAATTTTGTTATCAGTTGATAGGAAACGGTGTATCATTTATGTTCGTCACACATTTCTGAGTGAAATGAGACAAAATAAATTTGCAACTTTTATATGAATTTGTTAAAAACATCTTGCTAGATAATAACGATAGTTAATTATACTTAACTACCATGCATAAGATGTTTTTGACTGATTCATATAAAAAATGGCAAATTTTTTGTGTAAGTATTTTTCTTTTTTTATTCATCTAATTCAATTTACGAATGTGTGTCAAATATAAATCATACATCATTCGAAAGTATTTTATGCCATTAATTTTGCATCATACTCATTATTGAGTAATTTATTCCTGAATCTCAAAAAAACAAGTAGTTTGTAGAAAGGCTAATTGAAGTGCTAAATAAGATAAGTTTAGATAAAAAAATACGTAAGTTCGAATTTTAGTAGATACGAAGAACTCAAAAACAAATCTTTCCCAAGTTCAAGAATATTTGAAGAATCTGTCATGTTTATTATTCTGCATTGCAGCACAAACAATAATCTATATACGAATCAATCAAATCTTTTATTTTGAATTCATTTCTAATGTATTACAAATTTTCAACTTAATAGTGTGTGGGTGTACCCATGAAAAAAATTTTTGGAGAAAACCGCTGTTAATTGCGGTATCATTTGAATAACCGCGGTTTTATGCATCGCGTTAAAGAAAACCGCGGTGTAGTGCATGATAACCGCGGTATTAAATACAGCGGTTGTTACTGGTTTTATATACCGCGGTGTAGTACAATGATAACCGCGGTATTAAATATAGCGGTTATTACCGGTTTCATATACCGCGGTGTAGTGCATGATAACCGTGGTTTTAAACATAGCGATTGTTACCGGTTTCGTATACCGCGGTGTAGCGCATGATAACCTCGGTATTCAGCTTAGTAATATTATCCCATGAAAAAAAAGTTTTGGAGAAAACCGCGGCCAATCGTGGTATCATCTAAATAACCGTGGTTTTACGCGTCGCGTTAAAGAAAACCGCGGTTGCCACCGGTTTCATAAGCCGCAGTTTGTTCAATAATAACCACGGTATACAATATAGCGGTTGTCACTGGTTTCATGAACCACGGTTTGTTCAATAATAACCGCGGTATTAAATATTGCGGCTATCATCGGTTTCATAAACCGCGATGTGTTGCATAATAACCGCGTTATTCAATATAGCATCTATCACTGGTTTCATAAACCTCGGTCTATTCAATAATAACCGCGGTATTAAAAAATGTGGCTGTGAGCGGTTTCACAAGCTTCTCATTGTTATCAATCTGTTATTAGGAATGAATGAATATTTATTATTTTTTTGATATATGTCCATTATTGAGTAAATAGCACCAAGCATGTACAACGATATTATAATAACTCTCTCTTTAGGAAAAAAACTCTTGGTGCACGCATCTTAGAAGTAATCAATGACTCCTTTTATCTATGAATGAAAGAGTCGCCACTAATACTACACTATTAATGTTTTAGAATAGATTTTTCTCTTGAGAAAAACAATCATAATAAAAAAAACTTTATGATGCAATCGATAAAACTTGAAAAGCTCTATTGAATTTCATATTCAACGATTTTTTTTCTATTCACCGTGAAACTAGGAAATTTTATTCTTTACAGTAGCATCTTACTAATTGGCATTAATCGTGACCAATTAATAGTTAAACTATGAAAAAACTTGTGAGATTTGTTTGCTTCAATTTATATGTCCAAATAGTTTATAAAATTAAACCAGAATTACATAAAACCAACATTCATACTGACCACTAGGCGTTTTTAAAATTCCTTTTGACCTAAAATATTAGATTAATTTTCCACTGGATTAATTAATAAGTCAGTCAAATGCTTACTAATCCACATTTTATTACAGACATATCACTGAATGTATCCTCTACAGACGAGCAATGTTTGAGAATATGTTTGGAGAGACACCCCCTTACGTTATACAATTCTTTTTCTTCATTTTAGATCAATCTCAAGTGCGAATGAATAGTGGTCGTTTTTTTAAATGAACAATCTTTCTCTCTATTTTAGATTAATCTCAACATCCAATCAACAGGAAGTGTTTATTTAAATAATTTTTTTTCGAGGATTGTTTTGGATTGATCTAAAATTCGCATTAAACAGTAAGCATTCTTGAAATAAATTTCTTTCTTAACTTTAGATTAATCTCAACATCCAGTCAATAGTTGGTGTTTATTTAAGTAAAAGTTTTTCTTAATTTCCGATCAATCCCACACACTAAGTTAAAATGTGTCGCATGTGTCGTGTTTTACGACACATTGTACAACACATTAAAGTGCGACACGAGGAGCTCACTGCGACACATTTTCTCCAGCAGGACCACGACACATTACGTACGACACATGCGACACATTTCCTATTGGTCCTTTTGGAAAATCATATTTTGATGCTGTTTCAATTTAATTCCATTTAATTATTTCTATTCTGAAGACTCAATCTGGTCAGATCCTGGGATCTGTCCAATCTCGAGTTGACCTGATTTGTATCAGACCGCTTCAGAGTAGACCTCTAAAGATCATTGATCGAGATTGGCATTTTCTCGATAAAAAAATAATCGAGAAATAATCTAGAAAATAAAAATAATTGGAAGTTTTTTTCTATGTTCAACCACGTTGTTTATATATCACCAAGTGTGCAGAATAAAACGGTGAACGAATAGTCAGCAAACAGAACGCGACAAATTCGTATACGACACATTCTAAGCACGACACATTTTTCTGCTGGAGTGTGCGACACAATAATTCACTACACATAAACACGACACATTTTAATTTAGTGTGTGATGATGAAGACTTTCTTCGGGCTTTTAAACGTTTTCGTTCTGAACGACGATAAACTGGCTTGAATACAATGCCAGAATTAGAAGATTTCGAGGTATTCATTATCTGATGAAAACGAAAATAAATTCAATTGCCGAAAAAAAAATCTGAAAGAAAAAAAAATTCATTTCTTTTTTGTGCTTTTCTTTATTGTGTCCATATTAGCACGTTTATATTGTTCGAATATATTAATTTTTTGCCCAACTATATGCTATTTTTCATTACATTTATCATTTTGATCTTTATATTTTTGTTTTTTAATATTTGTTGATTGTTCATTTATCTAAAGAAAAAATAAATACAAATGAGTTATTAAGATAATTTCTTGTTTTTCTGTTTCTTTTAATTGAGCCTCTTTATCTTTAACTTTTTGAATAAATGCTTTTTTAAATGGTCGTTCACGTTGTTTAAGTTCTTGTCGAAGATCATTATGTTTCATATCAAGTATATCACTGATTGACATTTATTTACCATCAATATTATCCCCAAGACCAAGTTCAGTAAGATGATTACGTCGAAACATTTCATGATGTTTTGTTTCAATTAAATCAAACATATCGTTTTCAATAAGACTATCACGCAACTTTTTAAAATCATAATGATTTTCATTCTCAACTAAAAAATTCAGATATGTTTATTAAAATAAAATGGAATTTGAATTTCAATGAAATATTGATGGTGGGTTGAAAGAGTTTTTCGGATTATACCTATGATTACAGTAAACGATAGACAAAGAACATGTTGAATCATCCGATAATGTTTGAATCTCAAATTATTCATTGTATCGGGAATAGAGCCCGTCGGATCGGACCCGAACCCGAACCAGCTCGGATCTGAGTCAGGGTCTGAAAATTTTGAATTGACCGGGTCCGCAGGGTGTGGGATATGAGTGTTGGTGTGGGTGTGGGTGTGGATGTGGAATATGAGTGTGGGTATGGGTGTGGGTGTGAGTGTGGATCTACTCTTCACCAACATCCATACCCATCCACATGCCATACCCACACTCACACCCATACCCTATTTTCTTGTTGATTATAATTATGTACTGATTTTTGTATGAGAATAACTCCCTTCGATGGCAAAATTTGTTTACGTATTTAAAATTTATGCTTATGTTTGTCGATTGACGTACTTTCTTCCAACAAGAAGTTAGCACTTATGTGTTTCTACGTTATGGATGTTTACCGAACATGATTACAGTCTGTTTGTTTTAAAAGAAAGTGAAGGCGAAAGTACAGACATGTTAGTTGTATTTTGTTGAACTCTTTTTGCAAATTTAAAAACAATGTACGCAGTTGTTTGGTTCTTTAAGTGCAACAAGTTTTTTTGGACATTTTGATTATGAGAAAATAATGTTCATAATTTACTATTAAATGATAAAAAGCAAAGAAAAAGTGCAGTTTTTGTCTCCTCTATTCCAATTTCATCTTTTATGTAACAGAAATAACGCTCAATAATAATGAACGTCATTCAAGCATTCCTACACAATATCTTTGAAAATAATAACTCAAGTCTTTTACTTATATTTCATTGTACTCTTTGAAGGATCTCACAATCATGATGAATTATTTCTGTGACAACCAGTAAACCACTGTAGTTTATTATTATTCTCCTTTTGTTTCTCGTGTGCACAGATAGCAATAATATGAATCAAGTTATATATTTATTATTCCAGCAAACTTTTTCGTTTATTAATTTTGTTAAGTTGTAGATTCAAATCAATAAATTAGTTGTCTCACAGAATTAAATAAATACTGTCAAAACAAAAAGAAAGCAATTGTCAGTTAATAGATAAAGGAAAAAGTTCTTAGTGATCAGATTAACTCAGTTTGCGCTGCGTGACATTGTAATTACAAGATCTAGACTAATAGCAAATGTGCACAACAAACCAACCAGATATGCCAAGGTTCTGAACGGCTGCAATCCCAATACATACATCAAAGAATGTACAATACGGGCAATCAAGTAAATAGCACCATAGACTATCATTCTTACAATATCAGGATTCACTGAGTAGGCGAATATAGCCGTTCCCAAATAAAGTATGAGAAAGTATGCATCATTTTCTGAATCATTGCTGATAGCACCATTGATGCGTGCTGCTCTATCAAATTTATCTGGCGAAGTTGATTCTGCTGAAATTTTATTGTTGCTCATCATGCGGATATCTTCGGGAGGTCGTGAACCGGGCTGAGGTGGTTTAATTTTCCGCGACACTACTAGCATAACGACCAGAACCAAACGGCGGACAACCAATACCAGCATGAACCATGCAAATACAGTACCAGCTTTTATGGAATAAATGTCAGTCATGATATCGAGTAGAAATCAATAGTTAAAAAATGATTCTAGTTGTCGAGACGAAAATTTGATTTATTGTATAGTATGAGTTATAGCCTTGCCTTTTTATATGTGTGCTTCATCGTATAATTACAATTCCGGTGTGTTTTATCGTTTCTGCGCAACAGTGAACAACTCTGCATTGTCAGCATCGTCGTCATCCTTTAATTTAAATTTATTTTTTTTTGATTACATAGAAACTCAGCCACACGTTGCCATTACGTTTTTTATACATTTGATGGCAAAAGAAGTTTGCCTTGTCATTATTGGCTTAGTAGTGTTGCGGGTGCATTCTTTGTTGTTTTCTAACATGCATACTAGTGAAATAACAATTTAAACATTTGCCGTAAGCTCTTGATTCGATGTTCAACAAGAAAATAGAAAATAATTGACTAAATGTGTAAAAATGTCTCTGAATTTTTTATTGTCATATCTATTTAAATGTGATTGTCACGTTCGATTAGTTCTGTTATGATTTACATATAATTTTTCATATAGCATGATCGATTTCCTACTAGTCTTTATATTCTATAAGTTTACTAGTAATGTTGATGAGGTGGAAAAATAAGAAACACGAAATTGTTGAAAATAGGCCCTTTCAGTATTCATGCCTCCAGTGATTTATTTTCTCATCATCAATGGTTTTTACAGCTCACTATAGAATTTTAATTTGAAAATTAATGATGAATATGCAAGACATCATACTTGTTCACAGAATAATCTTGAATTCAATCAAATGATCCACTAAAACACTCAAAAGTATCATCGAGTCCTTGAAACGAACAGGTAATGAATGAAATCATTTCTTTAGCAAAAGAAAGACTGAAAATAATATTGCTTCATTTCTTTTGCATTCTATTTGATTATAGTCGACTTCCATCATAAAGGACACGTGCTGCCATCAGAAAAAAAAGAAATTTATGGCTCTACAAATTATGCAAAACAAAACGCATTTTCTGCTTTCAGGGTATGCATGTTCTTATAAATTGTTCGCCTTTAACTTAAATAAATAAAATATAGTAAGATATTTGACACGAATATATTTATGTACCTACAGCACAGGTTGATTACTTTATTTTGCTCATTTTCTACAGTTTATTATATTTATGCAACACATTGGAGGATTTTTCTTTTGATACAGTTCGATAGAGCATCGATTACTCTCGAACTATATAGTTTTACATTTTATTTTGTTGAGTTCCAGTGCAAAAAATCCGGTAAACCTCGAAAAGTAATCATGAAGATTTTTTTGGCCCAGATAATTTCTGAGATTATTTTTTGTCAGTAACTATTACTTATTGGGATCCTCAAGCTTTTTATTTTTAAGCAGAATAGTTGATTGTACGTTTCTCTATCGAACAAATTATTTTTCAATGGACTTATTTCATATTTATACAAAGAATTTCTTGAATTTCTCGGAAACTTTTCATGAAGGCTTTCTTCATTGGTGACTTTATGCTTGTTTTTTTTTAAATTTTTGGTTTTCTAAACATATAACCTTCTTTTCTTTGGTATGTGTCTGAATAGAGCGATAAGATTTCTGTCGATTTACATAATTTTTATCAAATTAGTGTCAAGTCTTACAAATGAATTTTTCTGAAAAGTAATGCAAATTTGGTTGTTCACTGGTATGAAAATCGGCCACAATTCAACAGTTAGGGTCACTTTTCTCCTTAATCTCGAACCCGTTGTGCTTAATATTTTTTTCACAAGGAATTGTGAAGGACCATTTCCATTTAAAATGATTTTCATTATTATTTATTTTTACTTTTGCTGAAATTTGAGCGTACAAAAGTTTCGTTCGAACGCTTCTTGGATTTTCCCAAATTTTTAGATAAGATCTCATATAAATGCGGTAAAAACAATATAATTGAATAGAGTAATTGACAGTCCGTGTTGCGAAAACTGAATCAGTTTCAGCGGTAAACCGCGTTATTTCTCAAAACCGCCGGTTTTAAATGACACTGCGGTTGTTTACAAATTCCACCGGTCAGCCGTGGTTTACCACTAGTTTTTTCGGTGAAGAAAAGACGATGAGTATACATAGAACGAAAAAACAAACATGTATATATACATGTGCTCACCGATGTTTCGCTCATTTTGCTGGTATGCGTGATTAGATAAAATAATCAAGAAAAGAATAAGAGACACAGTATAGACTTATTTATTTTTCTACATAATGTTTTCATAATTATGGACGTGGGAGTGGGGGTGGGCGTGAGTTCGAGTGTGAGGTGTTTGAATGTGGGTGTTGATGTCAATCTACTCTTTACACCCACACCCCACACCCACACCCATCCACACCCACCCATCCTCGAAAAAATATGTAAGAATTAGATATGAGCACAGAACATAAATTATATAGTTTTACCCTATCCTGTGCTCATCTCTAACCCACACTCACACCCATTGAAGATATTACAAATAGTGATTTATATAGCTTTCAGAACAAACGATAAATACTGCTTTCCAACACTGTTATTTGAGTTGTTTTTACACAAATATTTTTATTTCAGAGCCGAAGAGTTTCAGAGACTTTTAGTATTGTTTTTCATTCTTAAACAATCATAGAAAAATATGGCATATACCATTTGATGCAGAATTGAACGAGCTGCATTTTGGGGAAAAGTACTTTTGAAAAATCACTACTTCTCATATGTGAATTATAATAAAATTTCAATGATTTTAATGAGAAAAAGTTTTAGTGCAATCCTTGCGGGACTCAAATATGAAACACGTTGCAGTCACCGTTGCTAATCACTAGGAGATTGGCTTACTCTATCTGTTTTAGGATACATTTCTTTGCCATCCTGTTACTTAATCCTCTGGAAATGTAACTACGAAGTAGTTCATATATTATAAAGAGACGTTACTGATTTAAAGTCTTTGATGGCATATCAGTAATGTCTGTGACATTTTATAATGATCTCTGGCTAGCAGTAGTCACAATTTGAAGGAGAGGGAGTTGAATTCAAATTTCTACTCTATACACTTCAACATTCCTTTTAGATCGTGTTTCAGAAAAAATGCTACAAAATGTTCGATATATAATGCAGGAGAAATACAACGAAATCATGGAAACTTTCTTTTAATCGGATTAAATTATACTAATCGATCCACATATTATATTCAAGTGATTGCTTGAAAATTGGAATATTCAGTATCGACATATTTTGCAGTGTTTCATTGGCAAAAATAAAACACTTTTCTGGAAAACAAAGCTTGAAAAAACCCCAAAACAGCTTCATACCGGTCGGTAAGCAATCCTCTATTGAATCGGTCATTCATCGTTATCGGCAACAACTCTACCAGAGATAGCAATTACGCATAAGCTCATGATCGGATTCATCATATTAACTACTATAACAGAAATAATCTATGCTATGTTTGGTATTCACAATTGTCCGATGTAATGGTCCATTCTCATATGTTTTGATTTGAGATTTTCAAAGAAATTTCATATGCTCTCCTATCGTTTATTATCAAGAAAATCTATTTACACAAAATTTTAAAATGATCATTTTTCCACTTGTTTCTCCATTTGCCAGTTTTATTTTTCGTTTCATCATTTTCAAGTTGAGAAAGACGAGCTTCAATACCAACATGATCTGTATCTTCTTTTATTTCAATTCTAATTCTTTTCGCTTTTGATTAAGGTGGCGCTGATGTAAGTAGAATTCGTTTTCAAAAATTCTCGTAATTGATCTCTATATATAAGAAAAAAAAAACAAGGATAATATTAAATTAAAATAAATCAAACACTTACGTTAATTCACCAAGACCAATCAATGTAAAAAAATTGATTGAAAATTGACTATTTTTTGGATTATCGCAAGGAAAAAGACCTTGAAAATATTCTGTCAATGTTCTACAATATAATAAAAAAAATATCACAATAGACAATTATATTTCATCTTTCAATAAAAAACATACGGATCAGTTAAACGATTATTAAGTTTATTTAAACCAAGTAATTCAGTTAATTCCAAAAATAAATTTATTATATAAATACGTGATGATGAGGTTGTATCTTCTTTAGTTAAACGAATACAACGAAGTACCTAGAAAAGAATCATTATTTTATTTTAATTTTTTTATTAAATAAATACATACACTTCATGATATTGCATCAGTAGCAAGTAAATGTGCAAAAAATTTTGCAACTTTTCTTAAATCAATATATTCAAGACGATGAATAATTTTATATTGATCTTGAAAAATTTCTTCAAAATATTCAACGTATTCTTTTTTTAATGAACAAAAATGTTGACCAAGTAAACTAAAAAATTGTTTATATCTTCGTTCTTTTGCACATTTATCAAGAATTATTTGACATAATTCCTTCTAAAAACTTTGATTCAATTAAATTCATTAAATATTTTCAAAAACATACTTCTTGTTCTGGATCCAAATTCATATTAAGTAACTTATGTGCACATTCTTCAACACCAATATTTGATCGAATTGTTGAATATATTGTACAACGAAATGTTTCTACATTTGTTTCTATTTGATCAATAATTGTTTGTTGTTGTTTTTCTATAAAGAAAAAGATTGAAATTTACTGAATGTGTTCATTTGATTGATTTTAAAAGAAAGATCTGAACATTTTTATTATTGAAAGAAAACGAATGTTTGTCAATGAAAATATTTATTTATTGAGATTTTACAAAATTCTCAGAGAAAATAATTGAATCTTGATTGTTATATTCAGAAGATAAATTATTTTTAAATCAAGTCAATATTTAACAATAATCAATTATTAACTGAAATAGAATTTATAAAATCTAGAAGTGAATGTTTTTCTTGAAAACAAAGTACAATATTTTACATTTGAAAAAATCAAGTTTTAGAGATCCATGTTGAAAATTTACGAGGAATATATCGTTTCCTGATCTTATACAAAATCAAATGTTTGTTGAATTAATTCGATTTTAATATCTATGAGATCAATCGATTGATCATTACATTGTTTCTATATGAGAAATGATCTATTTTCTATTAAATGAATTTTATAGATTTTATGAGAAATATTCTTAGCTACAAGTGTTTTATTCAACATGAGGAACGGCAGGGTTGGTGCTCATCTGAAGATCGCTTTGGATCTCCTGAAGTTTTAAATCGTACATCCAAAGGAGAAAATCTTCATAAAGTACTGCTACTACATCAATATCAAATAGATTACATATTATTTTCTTAAAAAAAAAAACAAAACTGTGAACTGATTCAATATTTGACATCTTTTAATTACATGATCAACTATTCGATTTCGAATGTTTTGCGATCATTGATATTAAAATCGTTAGAAATAGTTTCATAAAAAAAAAATAATATATCAACAATTCAACATATGATGGATACAAGGGACAAAATAACACAAATTAAGTTCATTTAAAACAAATGCGTTCATCAGCATAGATAAGAACTAACATATGAGCAAATAGCTTGAAGTCATTCACCCTTTGAAGCTCATGTTCTAAACATATAGAAAAGAATTCTAGATTAGAACAACTACCAAAGGATCTGGGCTCATTGTCTTTGTCTACAGAGTTACTAAAGTTTTGCTGAATTCTTACCATAATACCAGCTTTTAATAGGAAAATTGAACAAAAGAGTGTTGACCTGAAAACTTATTGATAAATGAGACTCAGAATCTTAAATGTTTTAATTCGAAATCTTATATTTTCTTCTTGAAATATTTCAAAAAGAAATTTTAAAAATCTAAGATCGTCAATCTTACCTGTCAACTAAATTTCAACTCAAAAAAAAACCATTCTTCAATTGTCTTGCCAGGATCTCATCCTCTGCTAAAAATTTAGTGAAACTTCTGTATTTCTGCAAAGACTTATGGACTTGAATCCTTTTCGATTTATTCAAGTCAGAAGATTCTGTTTATATGCCTAAAACATGAGCTAATAAGTGATAAATTACTTCAGGTAATTTGCTCATTAGTAAATGATGAAGTTATAGAAAAACTATTTTATCTTGACTTCTAGAAACAAATAAATCAATTATATATTTATACAAATGCTAAACTGTTTTTCTTCGAAAACTTGTGATTGAATAGTTCTGAATAAATACCATTTTCTACATTACTTTTGTTATCAAGAATATCAAGAATTATCTTTTGTATTTCTTCATATTCTGTTTCATTTTCTTCATAATGATCATCATATAGAAATACATCTAAACAGAAAATAAAGTAAAATATTTCATTGAAAAATTCTTTTTACCAAGAATTGGTTCAGGTTGACATGAATCATCTAATGTAATCATATGTGTATATTCATCATTTTCATCAACTAAATTGAGACAAGGTTGTATAGCTGAATTTGATTTAAATTGACCTTTTCGTAAATCAAATAAAACTTCAATCATATATTGTGTATGTTTATCTAATGATGATTGATGAAGTAAATTATTTAATGTTGAAAATACACAATCTAATCCACGTGGACTAACTTGTAATAATTTTTGTCCACATTCTTTTAAAAATTCAATAACTAATTCAACATTATCATCAGTAGGATTTTCAAGTAAAAATACAAGCATTTCTAATGCTACTATATCATGTAACTAAATAGAAAAAAAGAAAATAGTAGAATTTTTTTGTTCTTTTTTTGAAAAATATATACAATATTTTGATTAACAAAATGTGCAATAAATTTTATTGTTGCTAAACAATTAATTTTATCATTTTGCTGGTATCTTTGACGAAACGATGATATAAGATGTTTAGCAATGAATTCACCAATTATTGGTAATCTTACATTAATAATAGACACTAATGCAGCATAAACAGGAGTATAAAACGGTGATGCTATTTGTGCTTGAATAATATTACGAATAAATAAACCATAACCACGAGTCATATTAATTTTAAATAATTCACGAATAATTAATGGTAAATTTGATGTATTAACTTTATTAATTAGACTATTAATAGTTCTTTTTAAATTTTCCCATGTTAATTGTTGATATTCGAGTGTTGTTGGATCAAATAGTCGTGGATCACGACATCGTAGTTCATGTAATCCTAGTTCATATAATCGTAGATCATGCAATCGTGGATTATATAATATTATCTAAAACAAAGTATATAAATCTATTTGGATAATTTCATATGATCTTACTTCTGAAAGAAGACGTTTAGTTGGTGGTATATAGGGACCAACAGGCAACATTTTCTATGCAACAAAATTGAATGTGAATTTTGATTGTGTTGTGGATGAATATAATATCAATTTCTTTTCTTTTCTTTTCTTTATTACATTTAAAACCAACCAGAAAATGAATGGGAAACTAATTCATAAGTAGTTGTCATTAGTTGTCCATGGTAGCATCACATTAAAAGAAAAACAAAATTCACCAAATCAAGAAAATATTGAAACATTATTTTCATCCATTAATTGTATCTGCCCTCTCCTTCTTGCCGGGTTTTTTTGGAAAACGTTTCATCATCAGAATTCTTTGAAATTTTCACGAAAGATAGATCTTCATGAGTAGAACAAAAGTTTTGGCATAGTCTCAAAATTGTCAGACACTGCCTTCTATAAGATACAGGAATGACAATTGCAAAAAATGACACTCAATTTTCGAGGCCGTTTTTTCAAGACGGTACATTCGATGGAGCTGAAAATTATTTTACACATACGTGACACATTTTGAGATTGTAATTTTTCTTAAATTTCTTTTTATTTTTTGTCTCTCGAATAAAGAAGCCAAAATATCGAAGACATCCTAAAAAAGTGCATGATTTTTTTCAACAGAGGTTTTTTTGTTGTAGCAGTGACTAAAAATCATCATAAGAATAATTTTGAAATAAATTTAAAAAACTCACTCCAACGGTGTCTAATATATAAGAAAAAATGTTCAGTTCGATCGAACTTACTAGAGGAGTGAAACGGGAACATTTCTGCACTTTTTTTTTCATGAAAAAATTTTTTTTTTGAGAAAAATGCGAAACAATATACAGTTTGCGTTGTTTTCGTTATGCAAATGCGATTTCTTCTCGAAGTTTTTAACGTTTAGAGACAATTTTTGGGTTCCGAAATATACTCAGCAGATAGATTATATCGGATGACCGGTTTTTGTATTTCTTTTCTTTCATGTCATCTAGTAAGTTCATTTTAAAAACCAAATATGCCATATGATGCAGCATGAAAAGCTCTATAATATCCATTAAAAATCTAATTTCATACATGCACTCTTTGTTTTCAAAATGGATAACATTTTATGTGACCAAATTATAATGCTATGACAAGTAATTTTTTTGGAAAACGACGAAGTTCTTTTCTTATTTCTTTGATTAATGAACCTTATTGAAAGCCACAATTGATGACCAACTTTAGACCATTCAATATGTATATCAATTAAATTTTGTCACTCATTCTCATGTTGTTTGTTAGAGGTACATAGGAACTTCATAACAACAAATCACATTTGTAAAAGTTAATCTGTATGTTTCTGCTCTCATCCTCGAGAAACTCGTTCAATTTTGTGGAAAGTCATATAGTGTATCATAAACTGTGATAGATCTTATCGAAAGCATTGATAAAAAGTAATAGAAACTGAATTATTCTTTTGAATTACTTTGTAAATCATTCTCGTCATCCAGTGAGTAACACCAATGATGACTACAAAAACAGTACTGACCAGAATAATAATGCAGAATAACTTTTTTGTTTCCATAGCTGCACTCCTGAAAAAAAAATTTTCTTAACTATTGGAAAACGTAATATCAGAAGTCGATCATATAGATTTATTTATTACTAAGCAATGACGATTGACACGCATAATTTACCCTACATAAAAGGTTCTTCTAATCTAAATTTTATCTTATAGCTCACTATAACATTTTCTTTTTTTCTAAATTTACCTGAAAGTAACGTTCAATCTCACTTATTAGTTATAATTCAGTAAAACATTTTCTTTTTTCTGTTGTTCAAAACCAAAGTGCAAGTAAGTTTCAATCAGAGATGGACTCAGTTCGAGTTTTTTTAAATTCAAGCTAAACCGAATCGAATCGAAAAAGAAATTTTTTCAAATCCCACTAAAGTTAACTGAAACTATGTCATTTTTATTTGAACTCGTTCTTCTTATTCCAAACGATTGTCATTCAAACTCCCTGTCGCGATAATTGAATATTCTCCGTATTGGAAAGCTCCTTCATAATAGAAGACCTCTGAAGGAGTGACACCTTCAATGTGATATAAGATCTTTCCTTTGCTATTAAATGAATTAAAAAATATAGAAGTAACTTAAATAAATATATATTGAATCGGAAATATGCCTGATTTTCAGAATTCTAAGCTAAACATCTATGAAGACTGAAGCAGAACTGCCAACAGGTGGCGTTTTTTCCGGCCTAGTCAAGTCTGACTGAGGATGCCTACAGAGCAGGCTAAAAGTAAAAAATTGGACTACATGCTGAACCCAGCTAACTGATGTTTCTGATTTTTCAAGCTTTAAAATATAAAGTTCTTTCAAAATTACCAGCGTTTTTGTTCAACTTAACTGGAAATCCAAAAATAGGGTGTGGTTGGAGTGCGGCAGTTGCAAATTAGAAGACCCGAACTCACATTCATATCCACATCCAGGTGTGTAACTACGGGGGCAAGGGGCATACTTGATCATGTAATATTCGAACAAAGATGTTATTTACGGCGTTTATGTAGATGTAGTTCAAATATTACATAGTCGAATGCTCGATTTTTATCTCCCTTCTAGTTACGTCCCTGCCCACACCCACACTCTTATCTTATCATATATTATGAAGACATTGCCCTTAAAAATTTCAAAATAAATCAACAATTATTTATCTTATTCACGTATTTCGCACGTATCACGATCTACTGATTATATTTTCAGTAATCGAATTGAAATGGATAAATATATGAAAATGTCAGACACAAAACGAAATACAATGAACACAGAATGCCTTTTGAACTGTTGATGATTTATTAAGAATTAAGGTTAATCTCAAGAAAATAACGCGACGTTTGCTGATGTATGTATAAAATAGAATGTTTCGTTTTTTTTTGTAATAAGATACCTTTTTGATTAGTTATGAAAAATTTATTTTCACATTTTCATGGTTATGTTTTTATTATTATTACAGGATATTAATTAATAACATTTCATTTGAAAGATTGACACGAGTACTCAAGGCTCATATAAACACATTCGGTAAGATCTGATTCTCTGTCTGCATATAAGTTAGTATTGTCGCGTCTCAAGACTTATGAAACATCTTGTACTACTCTGTCATGCACAGTTAGAGATAACTAAAATGAGATTTTCCTCTTATTCTGTGCCCACCTGTGTAATCAACAGAATCCTCATTTTTCTCAAACTTACACTAAAAAAAATGCTGGTTTTTGTCTTCCTTCCATGATGAAAACATGAACTGGTACTTATAGATTCTTTTCTTTGAGATAAGTACTTAGAAACAGTTTAAAGAACAATGAAACTATTTTTCTTGGCCCACAAAAAAAAAAGACTTAACCCTTAGTTGATGTCTATCACGGGAAGCGTCAACATATTTAGGTATAATATGCACTCAAGTTAGCAAAATCATTGCTCACTACATTTTCTAATTCAACGACCTGTCTGTTCCATCAGTTGATTCTATCTATAGTTGAAATTGAAATCGCTAAACGATGGATTTTGGTAATTATGATTATGAGATCAATTTGCAAAATGACAATGTTCAACCTAATCCATTTACAGAATTTATACATCTAAAACATCACATTGTTTTTGTTCTATTTGATAGCCATTGTTTTTAACCTCATTCTAGTTTTTCGTTCGTTGTTCGTTAATATTACCGTCATTAAAGACTTGAATAATGTGAATAAAAATTGTACAAATTCTTCTATTCTTTGATAATAAAAAATAAAAGATCATGAAAAAACAAAACAATAGAAACAAAAATAAATTTCTTATTTTCTTCTTAATATAACGGAAATGTTGAATCAACATCTGTATGCCATGCTTGAAAACCACCTTCGAGATCTTTTATTTTTTCATCTATATTATCAACATCAGCTAATAATTCTTTTAATCGTCTTACAGCTAATTGTGAATCATTTCCACGACGACAAACAATAACAATTTGTTGATTTTTTTCGATATTTAATTTTAGTTCATTACGTAATTGTTCATCATTATCATTGTATAATAAACGATCCATAGGTAAATGAAATGAATTTTCAAATTGACCTATATTAAGTTCATGTTCTGGTCTAACATCAATAATAAATGATGATAAATTTGATTTTGCTAAATCATTAGCTGTTATACGTTCATTTTGATTTAATAAGCTTTTTTGACAAGGTTGATCATTATTACATTGATTAAATGGAGGAGGAGCTGGTTGATGAATAATAGTTGGATTTGTTCCACATACAGCACATGTTGATTGTCGATTACGTAATTTAATTGTTCGAAAACTCATTGATAAACCATCAATAAGAAGCATTCGATTTGCAAGTACATCACCAATTTTTGTTAAAATTTTAATAGCTTCAAGTGCTTGTAAACTTCCTAATGTTCCACAAATTGGACCAAGTACACCAACATCAGAACATGTTGAAACAGTTTCAGCTGGTGGTGCTTGTGGATATAAACAACGATAACATGGTCCATTTTTTTCAATATAATTCCATACAGTTAATTGTCCTTCAAAACGAATAACACTTGCTGATACAAGTGGTTTTTGACAAAGAACACATGCATCATTGATTAAATAACGTGTTATAACATTATCTGTACAATCTAATATAACATCATATTGTTTAACAATATCCATAATATTTTCATGTGTTAATAATTGATTATATTTATCAATTTTTAATGATGAATTAATTTGTGAACATGTTAATTGTGCTGAATCAACTTTTGTTTTACCTATTGTTGTTTCACGATGAATTATTTGTCGATGAAGATTTGATATATCAACATTATCATGATCAACTAAACCAAGACGATTAAGACCAGATGATGCTAAATAAAGTGCAGCTGGAGAACCTAAACCTCCACAACCAATAATTAATGCTGAAGAATTTTTTAAATGTTCTTGAGCATGAACACCAAATTCAGAAAGTATTAATTGACGTGAATAACGTTGTATTTCATCATTAGATAATGAATGATTACGTACATATTTAGTCATCTAGAATAA